CACCCTGCTGCTGCCTCTCTACAATCCCAGTGAGAGACTTGTCTTGCCCCTCACTTAGGAACACTGAGGCAAAGAACTCATTGAGGAGTTCAGCCTTGTCCCCCCTGTCCGTCACCAATTGCTTCTGCCCATTCAGTAGTGGTCCTGGGCCTTCCTTTTACTCCCTATGTATCTGAAAAACAATTTTTTGTTATCCTTAACTTGGGATGCCATCCTCAGCTCCATGGTAGGTTTGGCCTTTCTAACTGCCTCCCTAAAACTGCGAGCTGAGGAGGTATACTCCTCTTTAGTAATTTCTCCCTGTTTCCACTGCTTATATGCCTCTCTTTTTGCCCTTCCTGTTCCCTGTGTGGTCTAGGGCTGGGCCACACCCCCTTTCCTCCTGCCTGGCCAGGTTGGTACCAGGCCACTCCCCCTTCCTCCAATGGGTTTTGGCCATGCCCCCTCTGTCTACAGGGCTGGGTCAGGACTGAGCCACCCCCCACAACTGCTGGCTATAACCCCCTTCCCCAGGAGGGCTGGATCAGGGCCAGACTTCCCCCACAGCCCCCACCATGCCTGCCCTAGGCACCAGACTGGGTCCACAGGCCAGTTCTGGGCTGTGGAGGGACAGGGTACTGCCCATCTGGACAAAGAGGTTGAGAACCACTGATTTAAAGCAGTTCTCCCCATAGCAGAAGTTTACAGTCTGGAGATTAACACTAAAAGAGCAGGTGAGGTTTTATTCCTAGCTATGTCCAAGGATCCACTGATCCTCATAACTAAATCAATTTTGTGATGAACCAGGGACAGATATGAATATATTTATGTACATAAAAGGCATAAACACTTAAAATATTTATGTTTGCCTTCACAGAATATCATACTTGACAGACTACTCCGCTGAAAGAAATTGTGTCAAACAATGCAGAGACTTGCTGCACTATTAACTTAATAATTCATTTGGGAAGTGAAGACACAAAGCAAAGCAATTGTTTGTGTGGTATCTTTTGACTTCTGACTTATATTAAACCATTATTTCCCCTACCTACTCACACAAGCTTCATTAATAAAAAAGAAAAGGCAAGTTAACATGTGCCACTTCTGGCATCTCATCGTAAGTATATTCTTGTTTTTACTCACGAGGAGGCCACTTAGCCTCTACTATGCAATCCACTTTCACACTTCTCATGTCCTCAGTGGAAGACACCATATTAATCATAAATTAGTTTTCAGATATTAAAATGAGATGTATAAACATTTTAATATTTTAGTTCATTTAGTATTTTTTCATAAATATATAGATTGAACACCAATGCTCCAAACTTACTTGTATCATAAAGTTTGTTACCCATTTCGTCAAGGGTATAATTTCCACTGTATGTGGGACACAAGCATCTTTTCCCTGTCATCAAACTATGCTCTAGGTTTGATCTACATTGCAGCCTACACAGCTGAAAGGTTGATGGTATATCACAAGTCTGTTATCCATACTAGTCCCTAAACACAAGTAATACTCATTTGTGGATAATGGTTCCTTTTCAAGACTTGCCACTAGCAATGAGACATACTCTAGACTTATCTTCCCAGCAACATACATGTCACTATAATTTATGCCACTCTAAACTGTGCTTCTCCTGGTTAATTCATTTTCTTTCTACAGTACTGGGATCATATATAACACCCTAACCTGCTACAGGTAAAGCAGGAGAACAATGGCAGCTAGTGTCCTGCTGCTGTAAGGGGTGCTAAAATACACCTGAGCAATGTAAGGAAAAGGGCTATGCCCCACACTGTAGAGGAAGGCAAAACCCCGCCACAGTCTGTACCAATCTGATCATGGGGTAAAATTCCTTCCTGACCCTCTGAATTTAGCAATCGATCCGACTCTGAGCAGGGGGTAAGACCCTCGAAACCAGGAACCCTCAAGGTTTTAGCCCAAGCAGGAACATTAGCATATCCTAGTCAAAATCCCCAGTTTGGCTACAGCTAACACCCAATTCTGGAGTCCTTACACCTATGGATGTTGGCAAAGTCAAGTGCAGGGGTCGGCAATGCTTTTAGGTAAAAACACCCATAACCTCAACTTGTAAGATGTTGGTGTGCTAAGGGTGGATGGCAGAGGAGCCATGAGGGGCCTAATCCTTGTTGTGGCAGCACAGCCCCCTTCCCCACCCTCTGCCCCAAGGCACGCGTGCCAAGCAAAATGCCTGTGTGCACCATGCTCTGGCACCTGTGCCAGGGGTTTCCTACCCTGGTATAGTGCCTCAAACTGTTCATCAAACTCATATGCTCTTTGAATTTTTGTTGAATCTCTCATGAATGCTACAGCACCATCTGAGAACCTTTGCCACTCTTTAACAAATGATCTAGGCTCTAATAAATCAGGCTGAGTATGGTTAAGGTTCCCAAAAGAGCCCTCAAGTCCTACTGCAATTAGATGACTGTTTTTGCTACCTAATTCTTCAGCAACTCCAAGAGTTAAAATTCACACATTTCACAGCTGATACTCTAGCAACAAAGCCCTTGAATAGATATCTTACAACTGAGCAAAAACAGATTTTCATGAAGTTTTGATTTCACTAAAATTAAATTTCAGAAGTTTTCCTATTTACAGAGTAAACCCAGACTTTATAAAATTCTTGTCAAAAGCCAAGAGTTATGAAGAGACTTGTTTCAGGCCTGTAGCAGGCAGGGCATTAACCTGCAATCTGGTAAGAACAAAGTTCAAGACTCTGGCCTACTTGATTCAGACAAGGGACTTGACTTCCCTGGCAAGAGACCTGGGTAGACTATTTATTGCTCTAAGGCTAGAAATAGATGGCACCAAATGGAGCAGATGCGGAGTGCCAGGATGCGCCTGGCATAACTGATCCACCTCACTGGGCAAAACACAGATTGCCCATTGTCCCGCCATTGATCTTGTGGGACAATGGGCAATGTGTTCCTCATTAACAGAGATGTGCCCTGGAAATCTTTGGGGCACATCTCTAACAAGGGAAACCCTAGCTTTCTCAGCTTACAGAAACTTGCCCTGGAGACCACATCAGAGAGAGCTGCACACTCCATTGTGGTTCTGGGGCTGGAACCACCAGTGAACTGATTGGCAGCCTCAGTCCCAAGACTACACTGGAGCAATTTCCGTACTCCAGTGTGGTCCAAGGCCCAGGCCCCGCCAATAAGCTGATTGTCCATCTCAGGTCTGGGACCAGACTAGAGTGTCAATGGATGTCTGGGAAATCCCAAACAGGGGAACCCAGGCAGGTGCTCCCAGGCCTTCAGGGCCTGATCCTGCTTGCCCCAGGAATGGGAATTCTCAGGGCACATGGGATTGAGACTCTGAAACCATGGGAGTGCCAGCCCAGGGCTGCTGGAAAGCATCAGCAGCTCTGAGCTGACCACACTCTCCCACCATAAACCTAAAAGACATCTGCTGTAATAAAGCATCACAAATTGATTATAGATTTCATAGACATTAGGGCTGGAAGGGACCTTGGAAGATCACTGGGTCCAGCCCCCTGCCCAAAGGGCAGGAAGTCAGCTAGGGTCAAAGAATCCCAGCAAGATAAGTGTCCAAATGTTTCTTAAAAGTGTCTGGAGTAGGTGCCTGCAGGTGCTATTCCAGGCTCTGGGAACACGGATGGTAAAGAAGTTTTTTGCCTGATGTCCAGCCTAAAATGGTCTTCCAGGAGTTTGTGACCACTGGACGTTGTCTTTCGTTGGGGTGCTCTGAACAGGGGTTCCCCCCCAGATCCTGATGCACACCCCTTGTATACTTACAGGCTGCCACCAAGTCACAAGTTATGACCACAAGTTTTAGGCATTTGTGACAAGACAAGGGGGTATGGATGTTGGTTTGCTTCGCCTTTGTACCACCATAAAAATTTCCACCCCCTGGATTTGAGCAGAAATTCTATCCCTGTGCCAAGAAACCTTCCCTGGTGAAGGTCCATCAGACACATGCATGTATATGTACATGCATGTGTATGTACATATACATACACATGCATGTACATACACACTTATGTCAGCTCCAACAACTTTTTTTCTGAAGGGAAAAAAACATAATTTCAAAACAGTTTCCCTAGCCAAATTCCTTGAGCAAAAGCACTGTCTCCATGCTGGCTAGGGGGCCAGAGAGTTTAAAGTCTTCAGTCCCCAAGTGCGAAGCCAGGCATAAGTAAAATCGTATATTCTAGCAAGTTTTCTGATAGTTTAAGGTGAAGTCTGACAGGCTGAATGGAGCATGAGAGAATTTTTTGGAGTGCATGAAGTTAGAGGAAAATAGTGGGGGTGGGCAGGAAATGTAGAAATGAGACCTTCATACAACTCACGAGGAAGGCATTCCAGTTAGACAGCTTGTTTATAACCGGGATCATTAACGTGAGTCACAAAGGGAGTTGGTTAGTTTCAATCCTTTACTTGAACTGACAACTGCATTTACACCCAGGTGAACCGAGACACCGACCGGCACACAAGAAACATGTTGTTGTTCTTGTTAGCAATGAAATCTTAAATGGCTTTCAACTGCACACAATCTAAGTAATTTTACACCTCGAAACACTCACGCAAACATCATTCAGCTATTTCTTTATAAAAAATAAAAATAAAAAGCCGGTCTACCAGAGATGCTATGGACAGAAGTGACACGCAAAATATCACGCGTACAGCTCTATATAAACTGTCCCAATCATCGCATGGCTTTTGGCCTTATCTTAACCGTGATTATTACATGGATTACTAAAGGGAAAGCAATGCAGGCTTAATAAAAGCACTGATGCATTTCCTCACACGTGTCCTCTTAGTTCTTTATTTTTATTTGCTCATCTCTCTCCAAAGCCAAGTCTTGCCCTTGCTTAGATGGTAAGGGGTGGGGGTCTCTTCCCAAGCACTGTGCAAACCCCTGGAACAAAGGGCCAAGGCTCAGCGGGGGCCTGGAGGAGCCAGGGAGGGGAAGAAGGAAACGCCTCTCTTCCCAAAAATGGAGCCTGCCCCAGAACACGCGGCGCCGCCGCACTCACCCCTTGTAGTAGGCTTTGACGCGGA